TCGAGGTGGTGGTTCTTGGCGCAATCAGCGAGGTGGCGGTCGCACAAACCGTCGTGGTGGTCGTGGTCAGTCACGACATCCGATGCAACACTACGGTTATAATCAATTTCATAACCAATCGCAACCTTGGCGGGCCCCTTATACACCTCAGACATCGTCATCAATTCTTGGACCCCCCCAGGCTCTCCTGGTCCTTGTCATGCTCCTACAGCTCATGCTTATTTCGTTGGACAGCAAGATCCGACACCTGGCCACTCCTCCACTGCCTACAATTATCCTCCTCAACAGCACGTGAACTGTTCAAACAGTTCATCAAACAGTGGTCCCCTACAGCCAACAAATCTTGCCACTCATCTCAACACGTTGACTCTTCAGTCATCGAGCGAACCTCGGTGGTTTATGGACATGGGCGCCTCATCTCACATGGCACCTCACTCAGGTAATTTCCATTTTATTTTTAATCCTAGTAATAATTTCCCCAAGAATGTCATCGTTGGTAATGGCTCCACTGTTCCTATCCTTAAAATTGGCCACACCATCCTACCCTCTACCCCGTTTCGTTTAACCAATGTCTATGTTACTCCTCACATCATTAAGAACCTTGTGTCTGTCCGAAAATTCACTAGAGATAATTCATGTTCAGTTGAATTTGACCCTTATGGCTTTTCTGTGAAGGACCTTCATACCAGAGCAGTCATCCTCAGGTGCAATAGCTCCGGTGATTTATACCCCATTGGCGCCCCTTCTCCCAGCCCATCCGCAACCGCCCTCCTTGCTCACACCACACCTGTCTCCTCTACATGGCATCGTCGTCTCGGTCACCCGGGAAACCCTGTCATGACTCGTCTTTTTTCTTCCAATTTTATTTCTAGTACCAAAGACCCACGGGAGTCTATTTGTAATGCTTGTCAATTAGGCAAACATTCTCGCTTACCTTTCTTTACTAGTCATTCTATTACCGTTGCACCTTTTGAAATTATTCATGCTGATTTATGGACGTCTCCTATTTCTAGTATTTCTGATTTCAAATATTACCTCGTATTAATAGATGATTTCACCCACTATACATAGACTTTCCCCATACACTATAAATCCGATGTTTTCTCACTGTTCCAACAGTTTCACAAACTTATACAAACCCAATTTCAGCACCCCATTGAAGCTTTACAATGCGATAATGGATGTGAATTCAAAAATACCTATTTTCAAACATACTTTGCCAAACACGGTATCTTACACCGTTTCTTATGTCCCCACTCTTCACCTCAAAACGGACATGCTGAACGCATGATCCGCACCATCACAAACATGATCCGCTCACTTCTCTTTCAAGCTTCCCTTCCCCCCACCTATTGGGTCGAAGCCCTTCATATGGCTACACATCTCATCAACATCCTCCCTACCAAATCCACACAAAATTGCACGCCACATGAATCCCTATACAAATCAAAACCCACCTACTCTCACCTTCGTGTCTTCGTGTGTGTCTGTTATCCTAATTTAACCGCCAC